CAAGCCATGGATTGATGCTTGTTGGTGGAGGGGGAGTATAAACTTTACCATTCTGTTTGGGAACCGCCTATAATGTGTTTAGCATGGAAGATATCACCATCTCTTAGTTGTTACGTTGACAATGAAAGTATACCGCTCAAAATACAATTTATCTCTATTTCAAAACTGAGCTCTGGCACCTCTACAAATCCATGCTTCCCTCCGCGAAGGGTCTATCCATTTACTTTTATGTTGAGTCTTCACCCTCTTATTAAAAAGCACTAGCTGGAGAGCACGGCTGTCATTTGCATTCATCACTATTAATTTATATTGGGTGTGACTATGATTGGATCTCTTTTATCATGAATTACAATGTCTAATCAGTCCTTGATCTTTAAAGGTGCTCTGCATTTATGTTTTGCGGTCTCAGAAAGGGCTAGCGAGATACCATCTTGTTATATCATATTATGATTGTTTTGAGAAAGTGTTGTCATCCGAGATTTATTATTATGGCTTGCTAGTTGATTATGCTATTGATATGAGTAATTATGAGACCTGAGAATTATTGCAAATGTGGTTAGTTATGATCTATGCTGAAAACTTGAATGCTGGCTTGACATAGTTACAACAACAAGAGCAAACAAAGTTTGTAAAAGTTTTTCTTTCTCTCTTTCAGTTTGTCAACTGAATTGCTTGAGGACAAGCAAGGGTTTAAGCTTGGGGGAGTTGATACGTCTCCGTCGTATCTACTTTTCCAAACACTTTTGCCCTTGTTTTGGACTCTAACTTGTATGATTTGAATGGAACTAACCCGGACTGACGCTGTTTTCAGCAGAATTTCCATGGTGTTGTTTTATATGCAGAAAACAAATATTCTCGGAATGACCTGAAACTCCACGGAACATCTTAGAAAAAAATCCTCGCCAAAGATGAAGACCAGGGGGCCCACACCCTTCTCATGAGGGTGGGGGGCGCCCCCCTAGGGCGCGCCCCCCTACCTTGTGGGCCCCCTAGATGCCCTCCGACGCCAACTCCAACTCTATATATTTGCTTTTGGAGAGAAAAAAATCAGAGAGAAGAAATCATCGCGTTTTACGATACGGAGCCGCCGCCAAGCCCTAAAACCTCTTGGGAGAGCTGATCTGGAGTCCGTTCGGGGCTTCGGAGATGGGGATTCATCGCCGTCGTCATCATCAACCATCCTCCATCACCAATTTCATGATGCTCACCGCCGTGCGTGAGTAATTCCATCGTAGGCTTGCTGGACGGTGATGGGTTGGATGAGATTTATCATGTAATCGAGTTAGTTTTGTTAGGGTTTGATCCCTAGTATCCACTATGTTCTGAGATTGATGTTGCTATGACTTTGCTATGCTTAATGCTTGTCACTAGGGCCCGAGTGCCATGATTTCAGATCTGAACCTATTATGTTTTCATGAATATATGTGAGTTCTTGATCCTATCTTGCAAGTCTATAGTCACCTACTATGTGTTATGATCCGGCAACCCCGAAGTGACAATAATCGGGACCACTCCCGGTGATGACCATAGTTTGAGGAGTTCATGTATTCACTATGTGCTAATGCTTTGTTCCGGTTCTCTATTAAAAGGAGGCCTTAATATCCCTTAGTTTCCAATAGGACCCCACTGCCACGGGAGGGTAGGACAAAAGATGTCATGCAAGTTCTTTTCCATAAGCACGTATGACTATATACGGAATACATGCCTACATTACATTGATGAATTGGAGCTAGTTCTGTGCCACCCTATGTTATGACTTACATGATGAACCGCATCCGGCATAATTATCCATCACTGATCCGGTGCCTACGAGTTTTCCATATACTGGTTCTTGCTTATTTACTTTCCTGCTGCTACTGTTACAATCACTACAAAATATCAAAAACATTACTTTTGCTGTCTTTACTTTTGTTGCCGCTACCATCACTATCATATTACTTCGCTACTAAACACTTTGCTGCAGATACTAAGTTTCCAGGTGTGGTTGAATTGACAACTTAGCTGCTAATACTTGAGAATATTCTTTGGCTCCCCTTGTGTCGAATCAATAAATTTGGGTTGAATACTCTACCCTCGAAAGCTGTTGCGATCCCCTATACTTGTGGGTTATCATACGACAACATGACCGGAGGAGCAAACGGTGGAGGGGGGCACCGCACACGGCTAAGAAACAATTGATGTGCCTAGAGGTGCCCCCCCGCCCCTGTACATAAAGGAGGGAGAGAGGAGGAGGCTGACCTAGGGCGCGCCAAGTGGGGAGGAATCCCACTTGGACTCCTAGTCCTATTCGCCCCTCCTTCTATCGGAGGGGGAAAGGGGGAAGAAGAGGGAGAGGGAGAAGGAAAGGGGGGCCGCGCCCCCTCCCCTTGTCCAATTCGGACTCCCCATGGGGGGCACCCCCTTGTGGGATGCATTGCCTCTCCCCTATGGCCCATATGGCCCATTACTTCCCCCGGGGGGTTCCGATAACCCCTCGGTACTCCGATAAAAACACGAAACACTTTGGAACCATTCCGGTGTCCGAATACTATCGTCCAATATATAAATCTTTACCTCTCGACCATTTCAAGACTCCTTGTCATATCCGTGATCTCATCCGGGTCTCAAACAATCTTCGGTTCACCAAAACACATAACTCATAATACAAATCATCATCGAACGTTAAGCGTGCGGACCCTACGGGTTCGAGAACTATATAGACATGACCGAGACACCTCTCTGGTCAATAACCAACAGTGGAACCTGGATGCTCATATTGATTTCTACATATTCTATGAAGATCTTTATCGGTCAAACCGCAATGACAACATACGTCATTCCCTTTGTCATCGGTATGTTACTTGCCCGAGATTCGATCGTCGGTATCTTCATACCTAGTTCAATCTCGTTACCGGCAAGTCTTTTTACTCGTTCTGTAATACATCATACAACAACTAACTCATTAGTCACATTGCTTGCAAGGCTTATCATGATGTGGATTACCGAGAGGGCTCAGAGATACCTCTCCGATACTCGAAGTGACAAATCCTAATCTCGATCTATGCCAACCCAACAAACACCTTCGAAGATACTTGTAGAGCATCTTTATGATCACCCAGTTACGTTGTGACGTTTGATAGCACACAAGGTATTCCTCCTGTATTCAGGACTTGCATAATCTCATAGTCAAAGAAATATGTATAAGTCATGAAGAAAGCAATAGCAATAAAACTTAACGATCATTATGCTAAGCTAACGAATGAGTCTTGTTCATCACATCATTCTCCTAATGATGTGATCTCGTTCATCAAATGACAACACATGTCCATGGTTAGGAAACTTAACCATCTTTGATTAACGAGCTAGTCTAGTAGAGGCTTACTAGGGACACTTTGTTTTGTCTATGTATTCACACCTGCATCAAGTTTCGGGTTAATACAATTATAGCATGAATAATAAACATTTATTATGATATAAGGAAATATAAAATAACAACTTTATTATTGCCTCTAGGGATATTTCCTTCAGCATCAACCACGCCGCCCCCCAGAGGTCCTCAACTCACGCCTCACACTGTAGGTCAAACCCTTGTGGGAGTCCCATCGGATCTGGCCACCCGATGCAGCCCTACCAGCAGCCGCCGCACTTCGATCAGGCTCTATGACGCCGCTGCGCTGCCCGAGAACGACCACGCCGTCGCCCAGCTTACCCGCTACCGCACCACTGTGCCCCACGACAGCCAGCGCCTCCACCTGATGCGACTGACCTACGACGCACCAGCCGAGGGGAGAGGAGGACGAGGCACCGCCGTCGCGCCAACATGGCTTTACCCTTTGGCGCCTGACGACAATGGCAAGGGAGGAAGGATGGGAGGAATGGTTGGGAGGTCCGGTGGCTAGGGTTCCTCCCGTGCTGCCCGCGGGAGCGACATGCGGGCGAGAATTGCATCACAAAAAGATTGTCCTCGATCGTTCAATCTTGACCTCACAGACATGGTCCCAAGCCGACCGCATATTCATGTGAAACGCATGCTCTATGTGAACTCGAGCAATATCTATTCATCTAGTTTCTTCCTTCCTATGAGGTGTTTCCTCCTCAATAACTTCATCATCTAGATCTTCTTCTCGAAGCCCCAATCTTGCCATTAATCCCTTGACGTACTTCCGCCCAGCCGTGCCGAACAAGGAGTCATGTTTGCCATGCCATGCTAAAACCCTAGCAAGCCAATCTCTAGGCAGAGAAGCCGAAACCCATCCTAGCAAATCAACCGTCGTCGATCCAAGGCCGGGGCAGCGCTACTAGACCACCCCTTCACTAGCTCAAGATCTCCAGTAGCAGGATGGATGCCAAAATGGGAAGTTTACTAAGCACCGACATGGACGCCGCCGGAGATAACATGAAACCCTACTCAAAGGGGATGCGCATGATTCGCAAATGCCACCCGTGGTGGTCCTCCCTATGACACGCCCTTGAATTACGAATACTTTTTTTTTGAAGTTGAATTACGAATACTTAGCGAGTAAGGAAGAACCAAATCGAAATTTTCAAAATCGAAACCGGAGCAGCGGTAACTGAAACGGAGTGACGCAGCAGGGCGGTGCACGTTTTACGGCAAGACAGCCTGGACACAGCAGCAGAGTGACGCCCGGAGCCGAGTGACGCGAAAACTTTCGTCGAAATTCCACGTGGCGGCCGGGCCGCGGCCCCCCGGGAGGACCCCGCGGTCCACGTGGGCAACCAGCGAGCGCCTTTTGCTGCCTCCGGCCTCCGCGTCAGCCACTGGGACCAGACCAAACAGCACTCAAACTCTCTCTCCCCCCGCACCCCCGACCCCCCACCCCTTTTCCTTTCCCCCGTCGGTTTCGGTTGCCCCTTCCTCCCTCCTCTCTTCCCTTACAAGAATCGCTCGAATCTGTCGGGGCGAGCGCAGAGGCAGCGCGCGGCCGGCACGGAGACAGGGAGGAGTCGCCCGAGAGGTTCCGCGTCCGTCCGCGAGCGAGGCAGCGAGAGAGGGGAGTGAGATGGACGCCGCCGGCGCCGGCGCGAGCAACGGGGGGCTGCTGTACCACGAGGTGCAGGAGGGGAAGCTGTGCGCCGTGCACTGCGTCAACACCGCCCTGCAGGGCCCCTTCTTCTCCGAGTTCGACCTCGCCGCGCTCGCCGCCGACCTCGACCAGCGCGAGCGCCAGGTCATGCTGCAGGGCGCGCAGGGCGCCGCCACCGTCGCCGCGGGGGACTTCCTCGACGAGGGCGAGGGCTCCCACAACGTCTCCCTCGGCGGCGACTTCAGCATCCAGGTAGATTGCTTTCCCGGCCCTCTTTATTTCCCTAGGTATTTTGCCCTAGGTTAATAATTATTATGTCTGTCGCCCTATGTTCGACATGGCTCGAGACCTGCGGCTGTCGTGCCTTACAATTTTAGGGGAGGTTCGTTGAGATCGATGCTTGATGTGGCTCCTTGCTCCAGTCTAGAACAGGGCCGTCTTTTGGCTTAGGTTAATTCTGTATGTTGCCCTGTTGTTTTGAATCTAATAACACGTGTATTGTTCTTTTGATGGCCGTCTTGAAATGCATAATCCTACCTACGGTGAAGTGATGTTTGGAGTTGTAGGAAATGCATAATCCCACCTGCGGTGAAGTGATGTTCATTTTCATATGTAATAGTTGGAGTCATAGGAAATGCATAATCCTACCTACGGTGAAGTGATGTTTATTCATATGTGATGGTTTGAGTTGTAGGAAATGCATAATCCTACCTGCGGTGAAGTGATGTTCATTCATATGTAATAGTTGGAGTCCTAGGAAATGCATAATCCTACCTACGGTGAAGTGCTGTTTATTCATATGTGATGGTTTGAGTTGTAGGAAATGCATAATCCTACCTGCGGTGAAGTGATGTTCATTCATATGTAATAGTTGGAGTCATAGGAAATGCATAATCCTACCTACGGTGAAGTGATGTTTAATCATATGTGATAGTTGGAGTCCTAGAAAATGCATAATCCTACCTGCGGTGAAGTGATGTTTATTCATATGTGATAGTTGGAGTCCTAGGAAATGCATAGTCCATGTGTTCTTATTGGCACACATGGAGGCACCACAGTTGGATCATTGATCCACGAACATAGGTGAAGCCATATCATCCTTGCCAAAGCCAAGGCATATACTGTGGGAACAATATGGATCTGTAGCCATTGGCATTGCCATCGGCTACTTAGCAAAGTTACTTTGTTAGGCTTGGAGTACAATGTGTTAAGCAAGATATTTCCTATAGGCTTGCTCTTTTTGCATCACTTGAAAAGGCTGTCTATAGTTGATTCTGAAGTGGTTGTATTGAAAATGGCTAGAGTTCTCGTGATAATTTGTACGTACTTCTCTAGGCTACGTACTTGGCTTACGCAAATGCATGGGTCTGCATGATACATCTGTAGTTATTAATTCTGCTGTGATTACACTTGTCCACTTTTATGTACCTTCCGTACACGACGGTTTTAGTCGGTTTTGTTATTTGACTTCTGTCGTCTCCTGAATTTCTTGTGCCAAGAATAATTCAAGCGGATTTGTAGTTATTAATTAATTCTGCTGTTTTGCACGTGCCCACATTTACATACTTTCCGTACGCCTAGCTTTATCAGTTTCATTATTTGAGTTTTGTCGTATCCTGGATTGCTTGCGTTAAGAATCAATTCAAAAGGATTTGTCGTTATTGATTAATGCTGTTGAGATCACACTTGATCACATCTATGTACTTTCCATACTCCGTGCCTTAGTCGGTTTTGTTATTTGAGTTTTGTCGTGTCCTGAATTGCCTGTGTTAAGAATAAATTCAAGTGGATTTGTAGTTATTAATTAATTCTGCTGTTCTTGCACGTGTCTACATTTGCATACTTTCCGTATGCCTAGCTTTATCAGTTTTGTTATTCGAGTTTTGTCGTGTCCTGAACTGCTTTGCGTTAAGAATCATTTCAAACAGATTTGTAGTTATTGATTAATGCTGTTGAGACCAGTCCACATGTATGTACTTTCCGTACGACGTGCCTTAGTTGGTTTTGTTATTTGAGTTTTGTCGTGTCCTGAATTGTTGTGTTAAGAATAAACTCAAGTGAATTTATAGTTATTGATTAATGCTGTTGAGATCACACTTGATCACATCTATGTACTTTCCATACTCCGTGCCTTAGTCGGTTTTGTTATTTGAGTTTAATCGTGTCCTGAATTGCTTGTGTTAAGAATAAATTCAAGTGGATGTGCAGTTATTAATTAATTCTGCTGTTCTTGCACGTGTCCACATTTTCATACTTTCCGTACACCTAGCTTTATCGGTTTTGTTATTTGAGTTTTGTTGTGTCCAGAATTGCTTGCCCTAAGAGTCAATTCAAACGAATTTGTAGTTATTGATTAGTGCTGTTGAGTTCAGTCCACATGTATGTACTTTCCGTACGCCATGCCTTAATCGGTTTTGTTGTTTGAGTTTTGTCGTGTCCATTTATGTACTTTCTGTACTCCATGCTCTTGGTTGATTTTGTTATTGGAGTTTTGTCGTGTCCTCAATTGCTTGTGTTAAGAATAACTTCAAGCGGACCTGTAGTTATTAATTAATTATGTGGCGATTACATGTGTCCATATTTATGTACTTTCCATATTCTTTTAGTCGGTTTTGTTATTTGAGTTTTCTTGTGTCCTGATTTGCTTGTTTTTTAAGAATAAATTCAAGTGGACTCCTAGTTACTAATTTTGCTGTGATCTACAGTTGCCCATAGTATTTTCCGTATGCCTTGTTATTTAAGTTTTGTTGTACTGAATTTCTTACGTTAAGAATAACTTAAAGCAGATTTTTCAATATTTATTCCGCGGGATAAGAGCAAATTCAAGCCTATTGCTGTCTAGGTTTCACCTTATCCCTGAATAGTTCTGAAATCAACTATGTTAGCTAGTATTAAACTTGGTAAATGGTTTGACCTTATGACGGTCAGTTCTTTGACTCGAAGTCCTGAATCAATCCTGCAAGGTTAATTTATGATCATATGAGTTCCTAGGTAAACGGTTATATATTATTAAAATGTGCAATCACTATATATGTGCAAATGAGAACATGAGATGTGTTTGCATTTGTATTCTGTTATATCTCTAATTCTAGCAATATCCACATTATTTTATAATTCAGGTAAATATACAACAGCAAAATATGTGGCAACACAAAATAAAAATACTAACAATTTGCCAAGTCAATTAACTGGCAGTGGTCTAGTTTGTTGGTCAAGCCTGCTAGTTACATCATTTTGCTTGTGTGATATGAATCTGCTTTTGTTAGCATACCAATTAGAGAAGGCATTTTCTAGTCAATAACACAACCAGCTGAGTGTTTTGATTCTCAGTGCCCATTACTAAGAACCACACCATGTAATGCAAACAATTAAAAAGAAAAGCATGGAAGGAAGAGAATGCTACTGTGTATATGTATTTTGAAGTCTTTGTATCTGTTCTGGAATATGATTTGATCCGAAATGCAAGCACAAATTATATGAGTATTTACCACTCCTTATTCAAGTAATCTTATTTCTGCAGTACGTAACACTAAAGGATTTAGGGACTCGACATATGATATTGTTATCTTTTCAGCATTATTTATCTTCCATGCATGTCTATGAAGTTGTCATTGGTTTGAAGTGTACAGCTCTAACATTAACCATACGGTTCAATTTGCTTGCTAAATTCCTATTATCGTCTGTTTCCTCATCTGGCTAACAAAATATTTATTTTAAACAAGTCCTCCGTCTTTCTATGAAGGGTTAGAGTGGCACAAAAGGCTGACCAGTGCATGGTCATGTGCTCCGTTTTGCGCTTTTTTCACTTGCATACATGTGGTATTTGCATTCTCAGTAGTACAGTTAAAATTTAGCAATAATTATATACTCATTTCACAATTTTACCATTATACAGAAGTTTTCAACATAATTAGTTTCTTCCCATACTAGTGATCAATTGTTTGTAATTTTCTCCAACAAACCTAGGTTTGCGTGTTATCTTGCATTTACAGTGTACTGATTGAGTCTTAAGAATGTCATATGCCAGTATGCCATTGATAGTTTACTATAGATGATATATTTACATATTTCTTGCAGGAGATTGCATTTTAGCAAAAAAATTTGGTAGCCTAAGTTACGTATTCGATTTCATATTCGTTTTCTGTGTGGCTTTAGGATCAGGTTTCATTTGAGTAAGTTTTTCCGTTTAGAGGAGCATTTTTTCATGTACCTCTGCTGAATCTGGATTCCCCATGGCAGCGTCTATTTAGGAAGATTATTACATAGTCAAAATCATCTATTTATTTCCATGTGTATGTAGAGTTCATCTGCTTCACTGGCTACAGTTGTGCTGTAGGTTTTGATGCTTGGGGTAGTAAATAGGAAATTCCTTTTTTATTATTATTGCTACAAGTTCTATGCATTGTGATTTTTTAAATTCATTATTATTTGTTGCAATGCACTCCCAAGTTCATATTCTCACCTGGGGAATTTCATGTTACAGGTTCTGCAGAAGGCACTGGAAGTCTGGGACCTCCAAGTTCTTCCCCTTGACTCCCCAGCAGCTGGGTCGTCCCTATTTGACCCAGAGCTAGAAATTGCTTTCATTTGCCACCTTCAGGACCACTGGTTCTGCATCAGGAAGGTGAATGAGGAGTGGTATAACTTCAACAGTCTCTACCCTGCTCCTGAGCATCTGTCAAAGTTCTACCTCTCAGCTTTCATTGACACCCTGAAGGGGGCAGGCTGGAGCATTTTTGCTGTTAGGGGCAATTTCCCTAAAGAGTGTCCCATGGCGACAGAAGGCTCCAATGGTTTCGGGCAGTGGCTGACTCCTGAAGATGCCCGCAAGATAACAGCCTCTTGTAACCAGGTTCCAGCACCCACTCATCAGGGAGCAGTCTCTCAGCTCGGTGGTCAGTCAGCAGGCATGAGTGAAATGGACATCATCGCAGCACAGCAGGAAGAAGCTGACCTGAACGCCGCTATAGCTGCCAGCCTGATGGACGCTGGGGGTCCATTTGGCAGCCACAGTGCACCTCAAGAAGAATCCAGGCCCCAGCCTAGCTATGTGGTGGAGCAAGGAGCTAATGTAACTACCTCTGTCGCAGTGGGCGAAGATAGCTATGTGGTGGAACAAGGAGCTAATGAAGCTGAAGCAAGTGAGCCCGGCAGCGATACCATAGAGGGGTCCGCCCCAGGCAGCTACCCGAGGGAGAGGTCTCCCCCTTCGGAGAGAAGATAGTGGTGAAAGATGATTAGGTCGGTCGTTCCATTCGGGCTGGAACTGTGTTGGACTATACAGACAGAAAGTGAAAAAGGGACCCCAGTGATTCGTTTAAACCGCCCCTCGCGGGGGGCAATGTTGTTCTGAACTTGTAGTTTCGGAGTGCCGTATACTCCTGAGTCTGAACCTGCCTGGATTTTGAACTTTGTCTTCTGTTAATGGTTGTTGTGGAAACTGCATAGAGACTTCTTTTCTTTATATGAAATGAAAACTGCATAGAGACACATGGAGGTTTTGCTTCGTTTTGGTTTTGATATACTTCCTCTTTTACAGATCAGCTTCTCTTTGAATATATGATGTTCATGTTTAGAGTATGAAGGCTCACGTTTTTTGCAGGGTATGGAGGAAATGCTGATCCCCGTCCCGCTGGTGGATCAATCAAAGTTTCTAAAAGGAATCATAGACGATCGTATCGTCGTGTTATTACATGCACTAACAAAATTTAGACGAATATACATTATCTTGTGTGTCCTGCAGAAACAGGTATGGCTTGGATGGTGAACTGGGAGGTGTACATCAGGCACGGGTTCGTTTTGCCCACCGGGGAAAGGGACTCTATGGACCAAGAAGACGACGGCGAAGATGACGAGGCAATGGTGACGTGCAGTAATTTTGAGGAGCACTCGCTGAAGATCTGGAGATGCGCACGAACCGCGAAACAACAATCACAGCGCCTGCACTGCATCATGTCCTGCGAAAGTGCGAAGTACGTACGTGCCCCGAACAGCGCTGGTGAGAGCTCAAGAACACCGTCGTGACGGGCAGGGCACAGCACAGGCTGCTTTTTGGCCGCGGCGTGACGACCTTCCAACCTGTCGGGGCGTGCGTAGTCGGGAACGACGGACACCTGCGCCCGTGTAGTGTGATGTGGCCTCGTACCCGTACGTACTTAACCCAGGCGGGTCACGGGACGGGAGCCAGCCAGGCGTGCTGCTCGCGAGTCGCGACCAGATGCTTTCCTTGGCCGGTCAGGAGCTAGCTCAGTCGGCTAGGTGGGCTCTGGAGTGCCGGGCAGGGAAGGAAGGAAGGAAGGTACACCGGCGCGTGCGAATCGTTTGCTCCGTCACGGGATGACGGGGTGCTGCCGTGCTGCCGTGCTGGGCGCTCTGCCCGCCACGGCGTGCCGTCCTCCCTCCGCACGCTGGAGAGCAGAGCTCAGTTCAGCGGTGCGTGCCTACGTACGACCTGAGGAAAAGAAAACACGACATGTTCGGGGATCGAGTGGAGTTTTGACAAGTCGGCAGACGGATCAGCACTAAGCACGGAGGCACGATAACCTCCACGTGGTTCGTACTTTCTACCCACGGCCATGGCCGGACGGACGCACGGCCGGGTTCCGTCCCTGTCGCGCCAAATGGACTCGATCGAGAGCAACGTTGACGACTCGCAAAAAAGGAAAGAAGAAAGAAGCACAACGTTGACGTGAAAGAGGAGTCACACGATGCGCGCCCCTTTCCCCGTTCCGTGGCCGCGATGGCGCGCATCCGCCCCGCTCGTGCGCGCAGGCCGACTAATTCCACGGTGCGATGCGATGACACCTTCTGCTCTGCTTGTGGATCGAATGGGGAATAAAATTGTACGGCTGGTCTTACTAGCCTTATCTCAAGGTAACCAAAGCTTTCATTTGCATGTTATTATGACTAGACCTCTAGAGCATCTTCCTCGCCGGATCACTGTCGCAGGTCGTCGACATGCCTCGCCCCCCGTATACCGCGCGTGGCATTTTCTCGTGCACAAGATAGGATTTAGGAACCTCTATCCTCATATAGCCGGATCATGGGCGCGAGACGGGCCCATGAATAATAGGTACATCGTCCTTTATCGCGTGTCGTGGGACGTAGAGGAATACGGTCCTCTTCCACTGGGAGAAAGGAGAGAGAGAAACGGTGGTAGTGCTCGCTCACCCAAGTGCGCCACACCAACGGAGAAATGCAGTGCCAAACTGACTATAAAATTTGATGTGTTGCCGCCGTGTCAGCCCCTGTTGGGAGGCCGAGATGGCGCATGTACGTGTGTGGGTCGAGCGTAAATCTGAGACCTGAGACGGGCCGAGAGCGACGTCTACCGGCGGCCATCATGGCCCGGCCGTTCGGCCGGTTCTCACTCGAGACCGATCGCCCGGGGGCTTTTGGCGTGCCCGCCGGAGGGGTACCCCACAGCCACCGGGGACTCGCCGCTTGTCGCGTCCGGGTTGCCGTCCGATGTGTGATCCAATTATGGATTGGGTCGTCTACAAAGTACAGTGTCAGTGCTTTGTAGTTGTATGATAATTGATGGATGACAGAGACGCAACTGTCAGCAGAGGCAGCCCGATTAGGGTGCAGCATGTTTGGTTCTTCCTCCTCTCATGGCCCCTTCGTTGTGTGTACCAAGCCGGTTTCTTCGACGTGCACATTTCTCCGGTTCCTTTTGCTATCAGCCGTCACGAGCTTGATCAATGAGCATGGCATGAGGTTGCTCCTAGGTGGGCGCCTCATGTGGACGAGACTTGCCTGCTCCCCTCTCGTGTGCCCATCCGTGCTCCCGCATATGTGGCTTGATTTGATTGGAAT